TCTGACAGCAGGTCTATTGTTTTTTTTTATTGCTGTCGTAATGATAGGGGTTTTTTATGAGCGAGAATAATTTTTTTTTATATAATTAATGATAAAAAAAAATCTTTGCTTTTTGAATTTTTTGAAATAATTATTTTAGTTGCTAAAAAAAATTTTTTAAACAATAGAGATATTTTTAAAATTAAAAATTATCTTGTTAAATTTTTTATCTAGAAATTTTGTTTATAGATTAAAATTTTTTTTTCTAATAAATAAATTTTTGAAAAAAATAAATCTAATGAACGATAATTTTCTATTGATAAAATTTAGACTAAAATTTCCCACGATAATTATGAACGTATGATTTTTATTGAAAGTTCAATAAATACTATAAAATATTATAAAAATAAGTCCATAAAATAATTTTTTAAAAGATAAATAATAATAATAACTATAAATGAAATAGGTGTAATCAAAAAGCAATTAAATAATAATGATCGTTATTTGCTTGGTGAGAAAATATAATCCTTTTGATTTTAATGGTAGCATCAGGCATCAACTTGTGTTTGGAGTATTTACGGAAGAGAAATTCATGCACCCATCAATGAAAGTCGCACGAGCACAAATTACCTTACTAAAGACTATAGTTACCGGTCATAACTCTATTCTCAAAGTCTATAAGTTTCATTACATATTCAACGTTTACAATTTAACAATTTACAATTATTTTGATTTGTAAATCAACAAATCAATCCACCGATTTCCCTTCACAATTTAAATGCCTCTCATTATTCACCACTCATCACCATAATTTACTAAATATTAATATACAAGTCTTACTTTCTCGCTCATTTATTATTATTTAACAAAATAAAAACTGCAGTACTTTTTCAATGAACCCGACAATTAAAAAAAATTAAGACTGAATTTAAATGAAAACATATAAAAAAATAATAATAATAGCTCTATTATGAGTACCGTTAAATAAACTCAGTAAAATTATAATGAAAGAAGAAAAAAGTTTAGTAAACTAGAGACTAGAAAATAAAATCACAAAGACATCCAATTTGGATTGTTATTATAGTACACGGCATTGAATTTAAAAACAATAACCGTGTCATATTTCTCACAATACATTTAGCCATCGTTTTTTTAGATTTTTTACGCCTTACGATAACAATTACGCCGACAATGTCAGCAGACAACCGAACAATGAGTTCCTCGTTTAAAAAAAGTCCTAAAAAATAGAGATGCCGAGATTAAAAGAAACTATTTTAAAGCCTTGAAATATTTCACCCAATTAATATTTTATTTTATATAACTGCTATTACGTTTTTATTACATCAGTTAGGGGAATTTCATCCATTTACTCATTCAACATTCATATGTTGTTCTATTTACGTTCTTTCATTTCTGAGGCTCAAATTGAGAAAATTCAATCTGGATGATTGAAAGAATCTATTATTTATTCTCAAGGAGTAATTCGCTATCGATCGCAAGTTTCGCTTGTGCTCATGTACCTTTGATCAAACTCACTTTGCATGTATATATCGAGGGGCGCGGAGAAGGCAATTAACGGTGAGGCGTTTGCAAGTATTATCGCGTCCAAGGTTGCACTACAAATTAAATTGCACAATAAACTATAGTTCCTATAGGAATCAGTTCACTGGCACGAGTATACACTTCGATATTATCTACAATAAGAGTAATAGTATTAATGATAATACTGATTAACAATAATTGTATGCAGTGACATAGAGTGACACTGTTTCACCATATTTTACTGATATATAACCAGAAGTATATATACTATATGTATGAGTAATGAGATGATTTTGGTGGACAGAAAAAAAATTAACTTGAATCAAGTGAAAAATTTTTGAACTAAGAAAATAATTTTGAAAAGTTTTATTGCCTTGAATCAATTAAAGTTTACTTAAACTAAGAAAAATTTCTTAGTTTAAGAATTTTTCTGCTCAAATCAAGGAAGTTCTTCAAAATTATTTACTTGATTCAAGTAAATTTCTTTTCTGTGTGAATATTTTTCATAGGAAACTTACTATAGCATTGATTCTCGTCATACAATTTTTAAAAAATTTGGAATTTTCCAATTCCGACTCAGCTAAGTAAGTAAAGACGGATAAATTTCTTTCAAAAGTTAATATAGATTTTAATTACACTGATGAAAAAATTGATAAAAAATATTTTGATCATTTTAAATTGAGTAAAAAAAATTTCAAATCAAGTAGAATTTATTTGAATCAAAAACAACTTTTTAGTTTAAGAATTTCAATGTTAAATTAAGTTGATTTTTCTATCAGTGTAAGTAAGGATAAAAAATTGAATTTTTATTTCAAAGTTATACCAAAAAAATTACTTGTGGTGACGAAAAAAAATTATAGTAGTTGTTTGAACCCATACACTGAAAAAAATTCTTGACTGAATTGTAAATTTTCTTTGCTGAAGAAAATATCAAGGAAGATTGAAAATTTCTTGAATGAAGTCAGTGTTTCTTGAACCAAGAAAAAACTTCTTCTTGCTCTAAGATAACTTTTGTATTCCTTAAAATTTTTTTGACGCAAAAAATTTGTTTTTTCTGTATAATATTCATAATAATAAAAAGTCTATCATCGCCATTTTACTTTTTTTATTCTGAACGTATTTTCTCACGAATTGTAAGCTTAATCAAAACAATACGGTATAATAGAAATCGCTAAGCTTCTGACAGAGATACCGGATTATCTCTGAATAATACCTACGTATAACTTTGAGGAAGAGCATCGCTACATAAATACATATGTCTACTATTCACACACACATGGACCTAGACGTAAGCCATGAGTATTTATTATATTAGCAAAAAACGTCTAAACGACCGCGATCTCTCCTCATATACCAATAGGTTTACGAGCTGTAAGTAACTAAAAAAAATGAATAAAAAAGCTATCGCTTCTGATATATTCGCGTGCCCCTGTCTGGCACTTGATGAACCTAAAGTGCTTTTCAATTCTCTACTCCTCGAGATAAATTTTCACTTTGGATTTATTTGAGCTTGAGCTAAATCTTCCTTATCTATTCCCGGGTTTTTTCTCTAAGTATAACGTGAGAATAAGAATCATGTAAGAAGCATGCCCGTGAAACTTGCCGCCCGGACTCGGACTTCCTAGGAAGTTAAAAATATAAATAAATTTTATAATAATATCATTAATAATAATGATGATAATGATAATAATTATAATAAAAACATTTATGTATGTAGTATTAAAAGTTTATACGGGAATCCACTGGACTTAATAGTTAGTAGTAAATATGTAATCACGGTAATCATTTATCTATTTGATGATTCTGTCTGGTGAAAGCATAAACTGTTCACTTAGCTTGTAGGTATTATGTATATTAGTAATGTGGTACCACCGTGCGAAAGTATATATTTCTTCCGTGCGAAACACAGATCTGTACTTGCGGATCAATCTTTGCTGCCCGATGGCCTGCTCCGAGTAGTATCGAGTAGCAGCAAGTAGGCATAACATAATCATATATTTAATATTAATACGCTTGTAATTTACCATTGGCTATTTGCTATTTGCTATTTTATAATATAATAAATTTTAAATTATGAATAATCAGCCGAGGAATTTACCATGATTAAATTTAATAACAAATATTTAAGTATTTAATTATCCGTAGATTAGTATTTCAGAGCCAACATGACGCGTGAAAATTTAATTTATGATTAGTTATTTTTATATTATTGTTACTATTATCATTATCAGGAACACTTTACCGATTCTTAGAAAAAATTCAACGAAAGTATGTACATACTTTCGATCAGAAGGTACAAAATAAAGAAATTTACAAACTTGAGATAATTTTTCAAGTCTGATCATTGTTTAGTTAAAATTTCTGGGGGTGTGCGATTAGCATTCGAATTGAATTGACTCAAACAATACTATGCAATTCAAAATACTAATCTGTAGAGCTTTTTTTTTTATTAAAAAAAAAAAAATAATGTTCTAGGTTTAAGATTTTTTTGTAAGAAAATGGAATTTTGTATCTGATAAGTGCCGAGATATTTTTGTTAAGCTACTGCAATTTACTTAAGGTAAGTTTACTTAGTTTAATACTAAATAATATTTTTATTTACAAATTATAAATTATTAACGACACTTTACTAATCAGATTCAGATATAACATGTAATGTTCCATGAGATATTCCGCGATAATTAGCTCGACTCTTATCTGAGGATTGAATTGAGCAATAAAATTTGAGAAACAGAATAGAAATGTGCCTTGTAAGCTAAATAGACTCAGGTGAAATGACTATTTGTTAAGTGCGACGCCGGGTTTGCATAAATGCATCTGCAGCCTGCATGAAGTTAGTTACGCTTAAATGCAAATTGGTTTTTTAATCGATCTGTTTAGACCTTGAAACCTACGGCATAATGGACCCCCAGTGTACACCCCGGCTTATCCTCTCATGCATCTTAAACAATCAGGTTGGCTTTTTATTTAAAAGCCTCGCTTCCCCTTTTTAAGCTCTCAAACTACGACATTATAATCCGCTTGAATAAAATTAACAATTTCAATTCATTTTCCACAACATTTTAATCAGCTTCTTACTTTTTGCCAGACTTTATAGCTCATTTGCGATTACAACAACCTTATTTTTTATTAATACCATGAAAATGATAATTAAGTTCTAATTTGATTCTTAATTTAATTATTGTTTCTCTAAGCTTGTTAATTTCACTTAAAATTTTATTTCTTCTTTAAGTTTGTCATGTTTTAATTTTGTCATTGTTTTAGCAATAATCTAATCATTATTATTGCCTTGAATTTTGAGATTTTAATTATTTTATTAAGGGTATAATTTTAAATGAATTGAAATAGTGAACAGTGCTGTTATCTATGAATCGAAGGCTACATTTAAAAAAATTTTAAAACTCGAACATATAACTATAAGTGGTAAGCTAGATATATTTAAATATATCTTACTGACTGACAGTAAAACAGGCTAATAAAATCGTCGAGGTCATGTCATTTATATATATAGAATACTGAAAATAAACACAACTGCTGTCAATAAAAATTTGTTAATTATTACTTTGATATTTGCGATGGAAGGTGAAACTGTAATAATTAATTCGCAGTCATATCTATCAATGAGTAAGAAATTTTACTGTTTAAAATATTTACTTAAATTTTTTTTTTTTTTAATTTAAGTAATCCACGTATACTAAGGAAATTTGTGGTGATTGTGGTTATCAAAAGTTTTTATAGTCACTTCCTCAATTATTTATTCAAATATTTGATTATTTTTTGTAATTTTAAATGTAAATTTATCTAAAATTTGAGAAATAAAAATCACCAGAAAAAAAATTAATTTTTTTGTAATTATTTAAATAATTGAATTATTGAAAATAATAATTATTTTTTAGTATGGGAAGCAATAGCATCAGTTGGTTGGTATATTGTGGGTGTAGTTGTACTTTCAATTTGGATGTATCCTTACTTGGAAGAAAAATATAAAAGTTGGAAGCAAAAGAAGGATGATGAAGAATATTCTGCCAAATATCACAAAAGTAATTTTTTTTGACAAAAATTATTATTTAAAAATTTTTTAATAACGTTTTAAATAAATTTAGATCCAGATGTATTTGAAGAGCGAATGAGAGCCGTAGAAGCTGCCCGATTACGTTTGCAGCAAAAATATCTCGAGGAAGCAGAACGCGCTAAGGAGCAGGAAGAAGAGGTACTCAATAACTAACAATAATAACAGTAATAAATTAATGTTAATTAAATATGAAAATTTTCAGAGGAAAAAGTTGAAACAAGAACAATTGAAGAAATTATTAAACGGTACTGAGGGTGGAAATAAACTAGGAACCGGAGAGTCATCAAATTCATCCTACCTCCGAGATGGTATCAATAATTTTTCTTTTTTAATTTATTTCTGCAATTAATTAACATGTATATCAACTTGTAATTTAATTATTAAACTTTCAGAATATAACCCACTAATGGGAGAATCGAGCCAGGGATATCGCGCTCCAAAACGCAGCTGCTGCGGTAAAAAATGTGGATAAATTTTTAAGCTGATATAAATTTAATATAAATCAATTTTCTATATAAATATTATTTTATTAAACAATTATTTCACTTACTTCCATTACAAAAAATAGTTTAAATTATAAAAAAAAAGTTATTTAAACACTAGATATTATTAAAGAGCAAATCTGTGAATTTAGCTATTAATAATCAATAAATAAAAATTTTATAATTTATCCATTATTAGTAACAATAAATTATAAAACATCTCAGACTAATAACCAAATTTTTCATTCAAACTAGTCCGTCCATCGCCAGTTTGATTCGAAGGTGGTACCCAGGTAGAGTAATCCTCACTATGAATCTCTTCATCATAGGCCTTGTTACCCTCTTTGGCAGCTTTTTCCGCCCTTTTCTGATTGCGTTTCATATTTTTTTTCCTCCTCCTCGCGATTTCAGCTTCCGACAATTCTTTTTTCATCTCAACATCTATACTTTTCACTTCGCTTTCTCCAACTGTATCAAGATCAACGGCAGTCACAGTATCAGCAGCAGTATCATCACATTCTTCTTCATTTTCTTCCACTTGATCCTCATCTCCACCAGTTTTTTTCTTAAGCTTCAACAGAGCCTCAGTTGCTGGAATGTCCTCACTCTTAATCAATCCGTACCTACTCAGCACCTTCTTCTTTTCACTCTCCACCGGTTTGTCCTCCAAGCGATCATCAGGCACTTCAGATCTATCTCGTTCCTCCGACTCTTCCTTTACATCCGATATTGAAGTGAACGACGGAAAAGAAGTAGGTCTCGTAATCTCAACCAGCTTTTTAAAGTTCTCTTGCTCCTTTTTCAACTTCTGGAGAGTAGACTTGAGCTTCAAAACCTCGCTCTTGCTCAAGACAGCAGTGTTCAAACTAGACATAAACGCATCAAGAGCATCTTCATTAGAATCAGAATTACCAGCGCGTTTGGCTTCTTCATGTTTCTTCAACTTTTCTTCAACCTCCGCAATATCTTTGGCAATGTTGCTCAACTGAGCACTGAGGCTCGCAAAATTTTCCGCTTTATTCTCCAATTTTCCAGCACTCCGCATCCTCCGTTCACGCTTCCGTTCCACAGTTCCCGTCCTATCCAAGAAATTATCTTCATCAGAATCATAGAAGTCTTCCTCCTCCCAATTACGAGTCTTGCGTTTCCGCCCCTCGTGTGTAGCCTGTCTCAAAAGTCCGTGCCTGTCCAAGACCCTGCAAGCTTCCAGCGCACACTGGATCACCGATTCCTTCTTCTTGCCCTTGACCAGAGCTTCCGCGCGAACTGTGCGACCAGATTCGACGGGCAAGTCAACCCAGCAGAGAAACTGTCCAATTCCTTTTTCCTCAGTCTGATACTGCAAATCAAATCCTTCGCGCTCAAACCATCCTCTGAGCGTCTTTTTAGGATCTTCAAGGAACAGCTCTTCATTATTAGAAACCGCAAAAGGATTTTCAGTCAAATCAGTATCCTCATCAGCATCCTCGCCCATTCCCCAGTCAATGCCTTCAGCTTCTTCTTTTTCCTTCTTCAAGCGCTCCATTTCTTCTTGAATTTGCTGTTCCTTCTCGCGAGTCATCAGCTCCTGGCGTCGCATCTCCTTCAACTCTGTCACTGAATACTCAGACTCCATTTCCTCGTCCTCGGGCGGCGTCTGGACGATGAACTTGCGCTGACTGCAGCCAAATCGAAGCATATGTCCGCCTTTCAGCTTGACGAAGGTCTTTGGTCTAATGCGACAGCTGTTCCAGAAGCTACCGTGAGTGCTTTCAAGGTCGTATAGGTAAAAACCAGGTTCGTTTTTGTCATCTCCCTCGGCGCGGTACTGGAGGATCGCGTGGTACCTTGAAATTGTAGGATGAGCGAGTGGTATGTCGCATACTGGAAGCCTTCCTATTACATGGAAACTTTTTTTAGATAGGTCGATAGTGTCTAAAATCACTCCAGACTTTAATATCTCGACTTTATAACCTTCTGGTGGAGTTCCACTCCACGCTGGCTCTTTGTAAGGCAACGGTAGGTGTTTTTGATCCTGAGGAGCTGCTTTGGGAGGTTCTATTGACTCGGAAATTATTTCCGGCTCGTTAGAGTCGTCTGTTGGTTTTTTAGCCGCTTTTGAAGGAGGATCTGGGAGTTTCCGCTTAGAAGATGGCTTACCAGACATCAAATGTGGGACTTTAAATGTGTCTTCACTAGGTTCTGGGTTAGATAACCTACTGACATCTTCTGAGTTATCAGTTTCAGTCTCTGCTGACTCTGATGGAACTTGTTTTGCATCTGACTCGGGTTTGGGTTCGTCGATCTCCATTTCGCGGGTTTTGTCAATATGTTCCGTAGATTTGTTTGTTTCTGCTGGACTGGATTCCATTTTTATCTGATTGTTTTAAATAATTATTAATTATTAGAAATTTACAAAAAAATATTAGGTTATAAATAATATTTATTATGATATAGGTTATAAATACTTACTGTTGTTTTTTATAAGTATTGTCTATTGATAGACAAAGTTTATTTGTTTTATTAATTGTTAAAACTTTAAGTTTTTACAATGTCGTAATTTTTTTTAAATTAACACTAAAATTTGTTTAGTTTATTGTTAAAAGAAAACAATTAAATAATCACAAACTCGCAAACGAAACACGACGTAAGTTGAAACGAGTATGTGTGTATATATATAAACTATGGAGACTATACACTATACACACGTGTATAGTCTCCATAGTGTAAAACACATATAAATATACGTTTGTCGGTATATTATCATAAGAACCGTAATTGCGAGTATTGGAGGTTTATGATTTGAAATTATATAAGATCAAATTTTTGTTTTTTGATCAAAATAAATTATAAAAATAAATTAAAAATTTCAATACATTGGTAGATATATAAATATATATAAAAAGTTGAAAAACTTTTAAATTCATATAATTTTGCATTATGATTGATGATTATGAGCAATAGTAAAAATAAAAAATAAAAATATTCAATTAAAAGTAATTTATATATTAATAAATACGATAATAAGATCAACTAAACATCTGTAATTTTTTTTGTTAAAAAAAAAAAAAGTTAAAAATATGTTCACAGAAAAAATTTAAAAAAATGATGAAATTTCGGATAATTTATCATAATCATTAGAATTATCAATTAAAAAAAAAAACATCAGATGTTTAGGGATTAAAGCATCATCTGCAAACCTCATTAGAGAAATCATGGTCAGGATAATCCGCTTGTCGGCTGATAGCATCGATAAACTGCTATTCCTTCGCTGAAAGATACCAGATTATGGAGTTGACTGGTCCTGAGCTCCTCTACCTATATATATAGAGATAAAAAAATTTTTATTAAAGTAATAATAATATTTAAAGCTGCATATTTAATTAATATGGCTAATTACATTAAATTGATAAAAAATATATGAATATAATAAGAATAACTAATACGAGTTACTCAGTATTCATTTGAACCGAAAATCTAAATGTTAATGTACTGCGTAGTTACTTTAAAACCGAAAAAAAATGACTTAATAATAATTATTAAGATAATTTTATATAAAATTTCTAATATTCGACTTTTAATTTACATATTTAATCATACGGGTGGAAAAAAAACATTTTATTTTAAGGATAAAAGGAGAAAAAGTGAACCGCGGCGCAATTTGCTGCTACTCGAACGATGACCAAGCGGGTTTTGTCGATTTCAAGATGGACGTGCCATGAAGCGCTCTCTTTAAATGGCGCGCATGCGCAGCCGGGAAAATTTAAATAGCGGGAATTAAGAAATATTTAAAAATTCCATAATTACAACTTTTAAGAATTTTGTTTTATAAATTTTGATCATAGTAATTTTTTCAATAAGAATTATAACTTACATTATAAAATTATAGATTACTTTTTTTTTTTTTTAATTCCACGCAATGACAGCAATTTCTGCCGTATCACATGAAACGTCAGATATCAACTTTGCCTTCAATTGAAAGTAACCTATAAGCACCGTGAGGATAAAGTATAAATACAAACATAAATTTATATTTTGTAAATATTTTAATTAGAGATAAATAATGACGAGTCGTTCAAAAAAATTACTCGATGTAATAACATCGAGATTTTATAAATCACCTGTTTTAACAAGTGCTATTGAATCAGCAACTGAAAGAGCACATATGCAGTTGACTAATTTTCAAAATATTGCTAATAAAAAATATGACACTATAATAAGGGTATAGTATTTATTTATCATTATAATTGTTAATTAAAATTCTTTAATCATCAAATGTCAATTTATCTATTTCTAAATTTTATTTATTTACTTGGAGTTTATAAAAAATAATTTTAATTTTTTTTTTACTATTATTGACAATAATTAAAATTTATCTTATTTACAGCAAGTAAATGGAGCAACAATAATCCAAGATTTAAAATCAGGAGCACTAGAACCAACACCGATGCCAAAGCAGCTGGTAATCTGGTGGAAATGGTACCAACAGTTGACAGGTCTAGAAGATGTTGAACTAGCGAGACAACAAATGATAGCCGTCCAAGATAAATTATTCGACTGTCAAAATCGTCGACGAGTTTTGAACAACCAGGCTTCTTTGATAGCTGATAATTTGAAGCAAGTATACGGTGAATTAATCCAAACTAAGCGCGAGGATCCAAAGTACGTACAGCTGACAATAATGGAGAACAAGGCCTTGCAGGAACAGGGAAGAATTATATCTCAGTTAAATTTGCTGGAGAACGAGGAACGCGATCATTTTACTCAGTTAGCAACTGCCATCAAGGAATATCATGACAGTCAGAATATAAACGCGCAAAAGTATAAGTACTTGTCTATCCTGGCGTCTGCTATTATCGCGATACTTTCTTTAGGTGGATCTATGATCTATAACAACAAAAGAATTTCCGATGTTCATAAAATAATAGCTGAAGGACAGACAAAAAATGAAAATATGTTTAAAAATTATTTTGCAATTTTGGAAGATAGTATTGAAAAGATTAATAGCCAAAAAGTTGTGGCTGATTCAATTAAACCTCTTAATAACAGCCAAATTAATTTACCTAGTGTTGAAATTGTTGAACCGGCTGTTAATTATGATATAAATAAGACGGTAGTAATTGGTAGTGCTCTTGCCTTATTTTTTATTATTTTCAATCGGTTATATTCGTAATATAAGTATTTTTAATATACTTAGATTTTTTTGTAAATGAAGAAATTTTTATTTATAATTGTAGGAACAATTAATTAATTTAAAGGTGATAGAAAAGTGGACTTTTTGCATTTACAATTAAAATTGAAATCATTTTTACGCTTTGTTAAAAATATATGTATATAATGTAAAATAAAATAATTTATATTGATTTAAATTATTTATTTACAAATCAAACTATTGTTTTGTTGAAAAGATCCCATTGAATATATGGTACAAAATAATACAAGAAATTTATTAGTCAATGATAAGAGGTAATATTCTCGAAATGCAAAGGATTGTTGATTAAAAAATCAATTTATATAATTTATTTAATAAATTTATTCCCATGACTTCCATTCGAGACCATCAGGTGGGCGTTTTTCGACGGTAGTTTTGCCTACTTCGGACCAGTTTGTGCTCAGGACAGTTCCACCAGATTCAATCTGAAAATTAAAAAAATAAATAAAAATTAAATAAATTAATTAATTAAAAAAACAAATAAAAATTAAATAAATTAATTGAAAAAAAAAAATACATTGAAAATTTAATTTTCGTAGTAGTTCGTAAGTACTTACAAATGACTTATTCATGGCCTTGCGAACTTCATCAGATCCAGTACCATAAATTTGCTGGAAGAGAGAATTAAGCGCAGCTTCACCTTCTGGTTTTTCTTCAGCCTCTTGTTTCTCTATTTCTTTCTCAACTTTATTCCAATCTTTTGATTTCTTGCTTGAGCTTGGATATTTTGGCGGTTGATTCGCTTGAAGTATTTCTGTACAAAAATTATAAATAATAATAATTTTCCACAGAAAAAAAAATTACTTGAATCAAGTAAATAATTTTGAAGAATTTTATCTTCTTTATTTGAGTAGAAAAATTCTTTCTTGGTTTAAATAAATCTTACTTAATCCAAGAATTTTTCGTGAATTAAGACGATGAAACTCTTGAAAAATTATTTTCTTGGTTCAAGAATTTTTCTCTTGATTCCAGTTAATTTTTTTTTTCCAGTGTATTACATTTAATTAAACTAATAACAGAATTAAGGAGTCATAAGTTACCTTGAGGTATAGGTTTTATAGCTTCTTTAGTCGCTGGATTGCCTTCTAAAGAATTCCATCTAAGGCCATCGCGTTTCTTCAATTTTATTTCTATTTTTGAGGGGATAACTTTGTATGAACACTGATCTGGTACTATTTCATGCGCTAAATCCAATTCTAAACTGTACTCGCTTCCAGAAGGTAATTTAGCGCCGACGCTTAGCTACAAAAATAAATATTTATTATAATTTTTGGCATCAATAATAAAAAAACAAATAAATAAATAAACTATAAGTACTAACTGTCGTTTCGCCGAATTGAGCTTTGACATTACTTGTATTTTTAGCGAGGACCGTCACGATAACGAAAGCCTCTGTTTGATACCAATCATGGTTTATTTTTGGCGTAGGCATCTGGAATATTGATAAATAAATAAATAAATAAATTATATTAATGAAAATCTGTAACTTGACCTATATCACTTTTACTCACCTGGTTATTCAGACTTTCACTCGCCATTATAAAAAATTAATATTTATTGTTCGTCAAACAATTTACTAATAAATAAGAAACAAAAAACACTTTTTAATTGTAAATATTTAATGTATAAAATGTCGATTTGTGCGAGTCACTGCTATGAATCCTGATCCTTAAAATAAGGTTTATTGTGAAATTCAATTATTTTTTGTTCTAGAAAAATCACAACAATTTTAGTTCACAGTTTTTACGTCGGAGCGTAAGCGCGCTTTTTAAAGTTTTCATGAAAAAATAAATTTTATGAAAACTGGACTTAATTATTTATGGCGCAAGCTGTATATATCAGTCAAAAAAAATAACCTAACACTATCTCTATCCAATGACGATAAACATCAAAACAAATCTAGTACTCAGCATTTGACAGTAAACAAATGGATCGAAAATATTTATCACAACGATCGCTTCCTCCATTAGTTGAAGGTAAAGTTCACGGTTATCTAGATTTAACAATTGATAAGATTGTTTGGACTCGTAGGAGTCCTGGAAGTGTCACAGTTGTTGCTTGTTGGTGGGGCGAACTCGACAATGCAAAATTTAAGTAAGTAAACAATAATTTATTAGAAATAATTGTCAATTACTAAAATGAGATTTAAATTAGCTGTCACTTGACAATTTTTTAATTTTATTTAAAAAGATTTTTTCCAAAAAATTATTTGAAAAAAATTGTATTTTTTTTTTTTTTTTTTTTTTTTTTTTTTTAATTCTAAATGTCAATTTTTTTTTCTTATTTTTTTGCCATAGTTTGTTGTAAAGTTTTTTTTTTATGTAATAATAAAGTTAGCCGACATTTTTATTTTGCTTAATTTATTACTAAAAAATATTTTTAAAAAATTGCACTTATAGTTTTTGAAGTTTTTAACAAACGAAAAAATTTTTTTTTTATTTCTTTGTAATAATTCTTTAATAAATAAAATCATATAAATCTTTAGAAGTTGGCTAACTTTGTTTTTATTATTTTTTTTTTTTATTTATTTGTTATAAATTTTTTAAAATTATTATATAAGTTCTACATTAATTTTCATATTCCTAAAACTTAAAAATCTGTATTTTAATTTTTTTACTTTTATTAACAGCCCCTCAGAAACAACCAAGGACACCAGAGACAACACCGAGACATACTCCATAAAAACAAATTTTGAGTTATTCAAAGAATATCTAAAAAACGCAGAATCTCTGTCACTGTCAGTGCTTTCAAAAAAAACTCAGCAGTCTATCGGAACAGCTAGTGTTACAAACCTCCTAGAAATATTTTCAGGCAAACTAGTAACCTCTGTATCAATTTACAGTCCCACTGGGTTAAAGCTCGGAGAAATAAACATTTGTTTGCAATTATCTCGCCCTCAAAAAAATAAACCAAGAAAACGAGAAAAAATGCCGGAGATAGAAAAAATTTCTTCAGTCCGTTCTATTTATTTTTCGGAAATAAATTCCGATCTTGATTCTCCAAGACTAACCTCCGATAATTACCGTTCAATTTTACGTGAAAAGCGCACGAATTTAGAAAACAAAAAGAATCCCTTGGATTTAACAGACAGATTAGTAGCTCAGGTCGTAGCTCGCGCGAGGAAATTACGCGGAGCTCTGTCTAACGATTCAAGCGACCCGCTGGCTCTGAGCGACTCTACAATCGACAGTTACCGGTCTGACGAGTCAGCGGAGAAAGAAGCTGCGCTTTACAAATATCTAATGGGTTCTTCTATGAGCCGCAGGAAAGAAAAAAAAGCCTTAGAGACACTGAGAACTCAATCACCGACTCCCAGCTTGATTGACTTTGCCGTCGAGACAATAAGGTCTTGCAATGAGAATCATCCCCCTCAAAGTACAGATCTAGACAATAATAATCAATATCTAACTTCGATTCCAAAAGAAGAGTCCTCTGAATCAACAACAGCCAACAGATGGAGCGTCCAGCGGAAAGAAGCTAGTCCAATTGACTATGTAGACAGTGTGAGGATAGTAGTTGACTCTCTGAAACTTACACCAGCGGGTTTCCGACGAGTTAAGTCTTCCTGTCTATCAAAGAGCGATTTTCCCGTCTCAGTAACTTACTTTGTCCAGTACGACCCTAGTTTTTTAACAATCAAGAAGGTTAATAAGAAAACAAGCTGTGAAAACAAGCCGGTTAAAATGTGCTCGAAGCAGCAAGAAGAAGAGAATGTTTACTTCAACCACGAAGCGGTTTATAATTTACCCAAGAGTTACTTACGCATGGAGGTCCCTTTGAGGTTCAAGGTTTTTAATCGGCACCTCAATCAACGAACTCCAGCTGAATTGGGAATTTGCTCGATGTACATCAGCGACGCAGCGCGTTCGTCAACACTAGGCACCACCCAGCGACTCGCCGTTGTTAAAAAGGGAATAAAAATAGGCGAACTGAAGGTCAGTGTCGAGCTCGGCTGTGACAAAACTCACTTTGGCAAACAATTTGTTGAAGCTGTTACTTCTACGAAGGAAAACATTCCTGTGCTTGAGCTTTCGCCTAATTTTGCAAGCTCTAGATATAAAACTGCTACGGGAGATAGCAAGTCCAGCAGAGCTACTAGTGCTCCTGAGAAGAAAGAAAGTCTTAGCTGGGGTGGTAATAATAATTGTAATTATAATAATATTGATAGAAATATTGAAAAAAAAAGGAGTGTTGAGGTTGAAGATGTTCCGAGATTTTCAACTGAAAACACTTTGTTACACGGGTTGATTTACATCAGCGACGGCAGAGATCTTCCGGATGTTAGTACGTACTTAATTTGCCGTACTTTTTGGAGGGAGGATCGCTCGGTTAGTAAAGTATGCACGGGAAGAAATCCTTATTACAATTTTTATCAGTTAGTACCGCTGATTCACAACCTAGAGCTTTTAGAGCGGACTAAAGACAACTGTATTATCACGGAAGTTTACTCCAAAAATGCAACAGATGATTCTTTGATTGGAATTGCTAAATTGCCGGTTCATCAGTTGTATGTTGCTTATCGCGATCCGCTTGTTTTGCAGCATCTTCTGAGGGCTAAGTATCCTGTTATAAGTGTCGACGGGTGGGTGGCGGTCACTGATCCGGTTAGTGGGAGACACTGCGGAGAAATTTATGCGCTGGTAGCTCTAGGAACTGCTGAACAAATTGCGCTGCTTGAAATGACTCGTGGAATTCGCACTCATACTAATCTTCCTTCTGTTTCTGCACCTGCTGCTGGTGTTGCTGCTGATAATCGACAGAGAAATGAAAGTCCAGCGGTAAAAACTCAAGAATGTCAAACGGAAATAACAGTCGACGCAAAACACACTCAAGAAGACCAAAATAATCGCGATGAAGCGGTGATCCATACGATTGTCGACAGACTAGCGCAAGCGCTGAGCGCTCCTAAGACTATTGTTGATCAGGGCGCGCAAACGGAGTTCAAATTTCAAAATGAACCTCCGCGAGATAAGGAGAGACAAAAAATAATCCACGTCGAGCCGCTGTGTCTCGATAATTTAAATAACTCTCAGAGTTTTTCTGCGGAAAGTTCGACTGATAGTCCTCAAGATAATTTTAATATGTCCCGTGAAATATTCCGGAGCGTGGGAGTCGGTGCGGAGTTTGATGAACCTCCTGATCAGACTCGCTCGTCAAACACTTGTGATCATCCGAGTGACAGCGATGACAATGTTGCCGGGACTTCTTTCCATTTGGCAGACAATCCGTCCCGAGACTACTTGGCGGCTGATGTAGATTCTTGTCATTCTGATAAAGACGTTTCTAATGAGAAAGCTTTCAAAGTAATGGTAGAGATTGACTGCGCTTTGCACTTGCCAAAAGTCGAAGTAAATAATGAGATTTTGGAGCCGTGTACTTATGTAACCTTTCAGAAGTTTCGTACCAACGATACTAATAGAATAGATGCTTACATGATCACGAATGTTTGTCCGTACAGCTCCAGTCCCAAGTACGAGTGGCGTTGTGAGACTAAATTGCCGACAGATTTATTGATCAAGGAAGAAAAACGATTGGTTATGAAGGTATGGCGCTTGCTGGCACCGGATGTTAGTATGAGTATTAATTTGGAAAAGGATATACTTGTTGGGATTTCGGCGATCGATTTGTCGGTACTGACCTCCGGGTTCCCGACCATCTCGGGCTGGTATCACATCATGGACTTTGGCGGTAAATCTAATGGACAATTGAAAATAAGTATCACTCCGCTAGAGAATGTTGTGGGACTCGGGAAATCTGTTACTACGAGACCGGTTTCTGCTTTTAATTACACCAATTTGTCGTCACCTTACTCGGATGATTTAGCGAAGCAAGATCACGAGGGTCAAGAGCAGGACAGTGAGGAGGAAGAAGATCAGAATCCTGCTGGTGATATTGAGCTTAAAATCAACAGCAATCTCAGCTTTGGCGGGATCCCAACATCTATTTTGTCGCAATCTTTGAAGTAAGTTGTAAATTATAAATTCGTCTTAACTACCAACCTTACTATAACTTAATAAATAAATAAAATTTTGCTTTATTAAATAAATGACTTTTGTTAAATTGCACGGTACTTCTTTAACTATTGACTTTTTTAAAGATATAAGCTCATTCCGATGTTACACTCATCAAGAGCTTTCATTTGAGTACCCACATGCATTTTTGATATATTTTTGATATATACATATATGTAATATATATAAATATATAAAATATATGAAAAATTGATGTGGGTACTTAAATGAAAGGTCTCAATGAGTGTAATGTGAGGGTGAGCTTATATCTTCAAAAATGTCATTAGATGACAAGATTCAATGTCATTTCTTAACTATAGACCTTTTTAAAGATATAAGCTCATCCCGATGTTACACTCATCAAGAGCTTTCATTTGAGTACCCACATGCATTTTTGATATATTTTTCATACATACATATATGTAATATATATAAATATATAAAATATATGAATAATTGATGTGGGTACTCAAATGAAAGGTCTTGATGAGTGTAACATCGGGATGAGTTTATATTTTTAAAAATCTCAATATTTCTTAAGATAAAAGGTCATTTCTTAATTATGTATCTAAAGATAGAGTATTATCGTAAAAAAAAACTAACAAAGTAATTTAATTTTTAGTGATAAAATGGATCAAATAAAAGAAAGTCTCCGTTTCCGCTTGAACGAAGTAACCAGCAAAGCATTTGAAGACCTGGCCCAACAATTTGACCCAACTGAGCAGGATTTTGAGTTTGAAGACAACGAAAATGACAAAGAAAACGACTTGGATAACATTAACGTACCGTGGCTATCACAGCCACCAGCTGTGAGCAACTCAGTAGATCATCCTCGCGATATATCCGAACGAACTATAAACGGCAACGGAACAGAAGCGCGTCCGAGTGGTACCACCAGCACAGTGGATACCGGTTACTCCTCAGTATCCAACACCCGTTCTGCAGCTAGTCTCACAAACGGACACTACAATCCCACTAAAAACCGTCTTCTTCAATCCAGCACCAACACCAACATCAACGGATCAAGTAACGGCATTAATGGTAAAGATTCACGAGTCAATGCGGAACATTCCCCCTATAGGGTTGAAAATCCTTGTGTAAGAAATAACAAAACCGCCTGCAGTAATCCTGGCGTATTTAACCTAGATCTGAATAACTCAAGTGTTCCATTAACAAACAATCAATACAGAGATAGAGATACGAATCAGCCGGTTCGTGGCACACGAATGCACATTAATCATTTGTTAGACAAATTATCACCGCAAAGTCCTATCGTACCACCTGCAATCGGGAATTCTCCTATGAAGCGCAGTATAATGGATCTATTATCCAGCTTGCGTCATAATAATAATAATAACAATAATAATTTATCAAATAATGTTAAGTGTAACCGAGAAGTTAATTTGCGTACAGTACCAACACAGACGGAAAATTATACAAGTAATTCACGATTATTTAATTTAGATTCTTCCAAGTGGCTGTACCATGGTCGAGAAATCGGGAGAGACGATGCGGAGATACCTGCTAAAACTCAGAAGCGAGAAAAAATATCTACTGTAATTCGCGAAGAACTTATTGCTGATGATCAAAATAATGACACAGTGGAGTATGATTTTTTATCAGCGCAACTTATGACTTCTAATGTCCGTCACATGGGAAGTTTAAATCCTCTGTTCTACCCGCATTTAATTCCAGACGTCCCAATTTCTGACGGACAGTCTGCAGGGGCAAACAACGACCGCCAGGAAAATAATTCAACGAGTCTGAACTCGGGGGAGGCCGACGAAGCCGTGGAGAGACTAGACAATCGATATGTGGAAAGCTTTAACGCCACTATCAATAAAAGTCTGAAGAGATTGAGAGATCAGGATGTTAATTCATCGCACAAGTCAACATCGACTAGCGAAATTGATCACATGTCGACGGTCGCTCTTGGAGATAGTGCTGACGTAGGATACTTTGGTGCAATAGAAACTGGCGAAGTGTCTCGCGTGACTCCTTCTGGTGTTTCCGAGAACGTTGATGGGAATATCGACGTGACTGTTATTCATAAACCTTGTAATGATGATTTAATGGCGTGTAATAGTGTCGGCTCGACTATTACAACTACTGGGGCGATGGTTATTACTCCGAGTACGATGACTACTGTGGCTATTACTACCACAAGTACAAGTACTAACACAACTTCTCAACTTTTGTACGATAATGACATGCAAACAGTTAGCGAAATCAATGATAATACCTCTTTAAACTCATCCGAAACTTCCGTTTCTGTTATATCACGACAAGCTCCTGATGGTGGAAATCCAATTGAAGATCCTGGTAGATTTGTTTCCAAGCCAAATAATCACGAACATGACGACTCCTCCTCAGAAAGTTAAAATCCCATTTTTTTAGTTTTAATGTGGGTCAATCTGGCTTTTTATTACTTTATTTATTTTAATGCATTTAATCAACTTTCTATGGTAATTTTTAGCTTTTTATCTTGCTCATGCTCACAAGTTATGAATTGATATTAAAAAAATTATATTTATAACAGCACTTTTTAGTGTTTGTAAATTTGACCAGTGACTGATTCATGTATACGTAATTAGATAATATTTTTAAAAACGTTAAATGTTAAATTTATATATTTAAATAGTGTTGTCAAGTGCAGGTTGCTAACATTTATATTAGCTGTATTAAAAGTGCGCATCGAACAATATTAATTATAAAAAATATTTTTTATATTATCTTTCTTGTAAATAGCGCTCAATAATTATAATTACTGTGTATCAATAATTAACAATATTATATAATAATAATTGTATGCATTTGGTAAATAATAATCGCATAATAATATTAATTTTTTATTATAAATATTTTTTTTTATAATTTAATGTAGTAATAACAATAATTATTATTAATTTTTATTTTAATTTATTAATCTTTGACATACGAACACATGTAAGCTTCTCGCTGAGTCCATTTTTTTATTACGCTCGGGTGCATTAGCCAAATTTTGGCGTCTGTTCCTTCGTGCGAATGAATCCAAGAGCAGTCACGTATTTTCTGTAAATAATTATAAAAAAAAATTAACATTCATTATTAAATAATTAATTAATATTAAATTTTAATTGTACTTTAAAATTATTCAATTCGACTTTTTTATGCTTGCGAGGTCGTCGCCGCTCTTCACTCATACACGCTCGGCAAATAAACACTCTGTTATTAAAATGCCAATAATCTCCGACGGGTTTTTCATTACAAATTTCACAGACGTCATTGTTTCTTTTTGTACATTTTACTTCAACACCCAGTCGCATTGTTACACAATGTCCAAAGTCGTGATCAAAGAGGATGCGCTTCCGCGGCGAGTTGAGTTGATATGTGCCTGGACTACAAGTTTTATTTAATTAAAAATATGTTATTTTTATTAAAAATTACATAAACAATCTGTTTACCCAGGATTATTATTAATGTAAGCATCTTTTCGTTTTGCACTGCAATTAAACGGGTATTTAAATTTTTTTTTCACAGGCAGTGGTGCGGTATTGTACTCATTTGGCGCTGGAAAATCTTCTTGATGTATTGTACGGTACCCAGAATTAGCTAATCCTCCGTATCCTTTTTTACTGAATGATTTTTGGCATGACTTTATCAAAAATTTATATTTAAAGGCAATTATTAATTCACAATAAGTATATTTTATTTTTTAAGGAGTTATGCGCACTTAAAATTAAAAAAAAAAAAACAATTTTTTCTGAAAAAACTTTCTACTTATTAATAAATTTATAATGAATTATTTTTCTTTAATTATAATTTTTCTAGCTCCCGTAAAATATCTCAAGAAGATTTCTTTAATTACAATTTTTCTAGCTTCCGTAAAATATCTCATGAAGATTTTCTAAAAGAAGATTTTCTTGCTTGACAAAATAAATTTTGATTTTTGATGAAAATTTTTAATTGTTCATAAAAATATGAAATTTTTATAGAAATTATTAATCCTTTTATTACTGAAAGATATATTGTAAAAATTAGAGACTGATAAGATTTTTAAAAATTTTGCTCACCGACTTTAAAAAGATAGTTTTAATAAAATTCTTTAAACTTCGGCTTTAGTCTCATTTAAGTAAAAATTATCCGAAGCGGCTTAACAAAAATCCGTCTAACTTTAAAAATTTTTTAAATTCCAAGTGCATGTAACTCTTTAATTTATAAATTTAAATAAAGAAATTACTTTAGTTGTAGATTTAAATGATTCTAAAACGTTGTAACTCCCAGGAGCGATATTATCAAAATTTTCCGGAGTATAATACCGCATAAATGAATTAAATCCACTTTTTGAACTTAAATCTCTTGATTTCGCAGAACCAAAACATATTTTTTGTTTTTCTTGTTTTTTTACAACGTAATTGAACCCTAAAAAAAAAAACAAAAAATTGACCAAACTTTAGCAAATTTATCTTTTAACTTTAAATATGATAAACTGATGCGTTTGCATGTTAAGGATTTGCGTGATAAATATGTATGAATTTTATTATTATGGTAAGTATATGTTATGATGTAGTGTGAAAGTGTGAAAGTGTGATGTGACAATGTGAGAGTTTGTCGCGATTGAATTCGCGGGGATGCTTGCGCACGAGCTAACGCACATACCGTCCCGACATACCCACATGTTATTTATCTGTTTTTTTATGATAATTAAATTAATATTTAAATTTATGTGGTTGGGTACATAAGTAGAGCGCGGGAGTATTCACTGCGGCACGTTCATAATTTTGACTAAAGCGAATAAAAATTCGTATACATCTGTTTGATTTTCTCAACCCTTACCTACAATCATACATTCCTCTACATGAAATACCTACATATCTATATATATTTCTATGTATATATGTACTTATATAAAACTACTTACTTTATACTATGTGAACATGAAGGATTGCTATGGCAACCACTACAATAGCTCGTCAATTACAGGCTATTGACTTGAATGCTCTTTTTATGATTTATTTTATTTAAATATCATACTATTAGATATTGATTTGTTTTTGATTATTTTTCAACAAATATTTTTTAATATTTATAAATATTTAGTATTTTTTTTTTTTAGAATAAAATTTACTACAGAAAGTAAAACGCTAAAGCGGAGTTTTATTAATTAAAAAAAAAAAGAAAGGAGCTCAAGTGCGTATTTTTAATTAATAAATAAATAAATGTAATTTGTAGTTAAATTATTGAAAAAATAATTTTAATGAAAACTCTTATTTAAGAAATCGAAAAGAAGACTAATAACTTTTTCAAGCTTGCTAATTAAATTTTTTATTTAAATTAATAAATTTAATAATACCAGAAATTTTTTTTTAATTATGAAAGTTTATATTTTTTTGAGACTGTAAAATATGACACTTTAATTATCAAGTCTAATTTTAAGATTTATCAAAAAAATTTTGATAAGAAAATTGCATTGATAGTTTTTTATAATTTATACATGTGGAATTTTTTTTTATGACATTTAAATTAGTAGGTACTTGAAATTTCTCGAATTTTTCTTTAAAAATAAACTAGATCTAGAAAATTATTTTAAAAAAATTGCAATTATAATTTTTTAGAGATGAAATTTGTTTATATATTTTCTTCCCATAATTTATTTTATTTATTTGAAAAATTCTATCAGATGTCAAACAATTTGTAAATTGAAATTAACCCACCTCTGATCAATTTTTTGATTTTTAAGCAAAAAAAAATGTTTTAAAAAAATTAATTGAATTTAATAAATTAACAGAAAAATTATCTAATGAAAAAAAATCAAAAAACTTATCGAAAAAATTTTATTTTATAAAAAATTGATTTATTTTGTCAAAAAGAAAAACCAAAATTATAATATGACTTTTTTAAATTTCGCGCCAAAAAGCGCCACCTTAAATGAATTACCGCAATTTAAGTCAAATAAACATTTATTTTTATTGATATCCCAAATAATAAATGTCATAAATACAAAATTAATTAATGAGTAAATAAGTAGTAAATTGTTAAAATGCAGTAAAAACTAAAAACTTAAGTAATTAAGTGTCAAAGTGGAGATTTAAATGAAATAAATAATAAAAAACGGGCGCGGAAGCGAGTAAAAAGGGGTGTTGACTAGCGCAGTAAAAGTGAGTGAGAGGAGAGTATTGTCAGCAGGTCGATGGTGGTGCTGTCCGTACCGACGGTTTGTCCGTGGCCGTCGTCGTCGGGCTTGCTCGCTCGCTCACTCGCTAGCCATGAATCTGATGTGCGTTTCTGCACATGGCCGTTCTTCAGAACGTCTCGTCATCACGCTGCTCTCCAACAATTTCGAGATTTACACCGGTAAATATCCCGAAAATCCAATTATTTTAGACTAGATCAACTCCTAATATCATTCTACAGCTTATTATTATTTAATTGTGCCTTAAAATCCTGTATAATTCCCCTAATTACTCTATATGTGTGTACTGAGTAACGCGGGTCAGTAGTTTTATTTTATAAAATCCTCTCTCTTAATTTCACCGGCTATTAAATTAACAAATATTGTTTACTTTTTATTTTTTATATTTTTTTCATAATAAATATCTAAAATTTTTCAAAGAACCCCAAAAAAATTAATTAATTTTTAACCAATTACAGCGAAAAATCCAGTGTAATTTTTTGTTACAATTTATGAGTGTTGCGTGTAACATAAATTTAATTTCCAAGGACACGCTACTCATATTTTATGTGTTATAGTTTATTAACTGAAAACAATTCAATTTTTTTTTTTTTTTTTTTTTTTTTTTTTTTTATATAAAATAAATTTTTTTTTTCAAGTGAGTTTATTCAAAGATTACTGAAGTAAAAGTAATCAAAAAAATAATTTTTCCAGATAAATTGTACCGTTTAGCCCACCCACCATGACTACATCCTCGGAAGATGTGCTGATGCAAGTGAATGAGGTCCGTCACAAAAAAGGCGATGGTATTCTTTACGTAATGAATGAACGTATCGCATGGATGGTCCACAAAAAAGACACTGTGTCTGTGAGTCATAAATACGCTGATATTAAGAGTAAGTACTCGCCTTGTAATTTATCATTGATCAATTGTTTTTTTTTTTTTTATTAAAAATTTACTTTAACTACAGTGCAGAAAATATCACCTGACGGAAAATCAAAAATACAACTTCAAGTTGTTTTACATGATGGCTCATCATCTACATTTCACTTTGTCAATAAAAATGGGCCAGCTGCACAAATAAAAGACCGTGATGATGTCAAAGAACTGTTACAACAGTTATTACCAAAATTTAAAAAGAAAGTCAATAAAGAGCTTGAAGAAAAAAATAGGTGAAGATTTTTTGTTTATTTTTTTTTTTATGATACTGAATTACAAAGTGGTTTCAATGATTAATATTATTAATTAATATATATTTTGTATTAGATTATTACAGGAGAATCCAACATTATTGCAATTATACCGTGATTTGGTAATAACACAAGTAATAACGTCTGAAGAATTTTGGAGCCAACATGCAGTCGAGTATACTCAGGCAAATAAAAGCCAACGCCAGGATATTGGAGTTAATAGTGCCTTCCTTGTAAGAATTTTTTATTTAATTAATTTTTTTTTTATTATGTTTAATTTATTTATTTATTTCTTTATTAAAAAAATCTAACAGCACAAAGCCATCCCGCTATATATGTCAAAAATATGTGTCGCATATATATATGCAAAAAAAATATGTCATATATTTTTCACCTAGATGCTGACATATATGCAGAGATACATGCCAAAATATATGTAGACATATATGTAAGCACACACTGAAAAAAAAAATTTCTTAGTTTAAGAATTTTTTTACTCAAATCAAGAAAGTGAAATTCTTCAAAATTATTTACTTGATTCAAGATAAATTTTTTTCTGTGTATAGACATATATATTGTATTTATATGCGGACATATATATGTATATATTCAAACGTATATGTAGACATATATTCTATTATATATTGTAGAAAATACATTTGCATATATTTAGCGCAAAAAAAATGTATGTGAAAATATATTCGCATATATTTTTCACATATATATTTTTCCATGCGGGAAGGACAAGGTTACAAAAAGTTACATAGGTATTGTTAATCTAAATGGCACATGTAGTTAATGGTTAATAATAACAATATAATTATGTTATATAAAATTATGGAACATAATATTACAATAATAATACCGAGATAGATACACAAGTTACCGGCAGTACTCAGTACTTCGCTATTTGTTAATATTATAGACTACATATTGATGTTAATTAATTGAATGTAAGTGCGATTAAAGCTGACATTACAAAGTTCAAATCATATGCTATAATAGACATTATTTGAATTCTTTTAATTAATTGCTCGATACTTTATGAACATACATTATTTATAAACAATAATTATAATTATTCAGGCTGATATAAAACCTCAAACTGACGGTTGCAATGGTTTAAAATACAACCTGACAAAAGACATAATAGAGAGTATATTCAAAACTTATCCCGCGGTGAAACGAAAGCACCAGGAGAACGTGCCTCACAAAATGTCAGAGTCGGATTTTTGGACAAAGTTTTTCCAGTCTCACTATTTTCATCGCGACCGGATAAACGCAGGTAACAAGGATCTGTTTACCGAGTGCGCTAAAATAGACGACCAGGAGCTGAAAAAAGACATACAGACCGGCATAAGCGACCCGCTGCTGGACATAACGTCTTTCGAGGACAAAACGACTGACGAGAACTACGATAGCGGTTTTAGCAAAAGCGACAAATCCTCCGGGAACATTGTTCATCAGAGCATGATCAAGAGATTCAATCAGCACAGTATAATGGTAATGAAAGCTAACACTGCCAGACAGTCTGCTCAAGCCCCGCCTCAAGTTAATGGCTCAGCGGTGGCAGGAAAAACTTCCGCTCCTCAGTCAGACGAAGAACCAAAGACCAAAAAAGTAAATTTTTATAATTATTTTTTTACTTGCTTTTCTATCTCTAGATACATAATTAAAAAATGACCTTGTATCTTGTGAACTATTGACATTTTTAAAGATATAAGCTCATCCCGACATTATACTCATCAAGACCTTTCATTTGAGTACCCACATCAATTTTTCATATATTTTATATATTATATATATGTATATATGAAAAATATAGCAAAAATTCATGTGGGTACTCAAATGAAAGCTCTTGATGAGTGTAACATCGGGATGAGCTTATATCTTTAAAAACATCAATAGTTAAAAAAGTACAGTGCAATTTAACAAGAGTCATTATTTAATAAAGCAAAATTTTGTTTATTTATAGTTCACAAATCACAGCAGTCACATAGTGACTGCAAGGTTGCTAGTTTTTAATTAATTGACTTTTAAACGGAAATTCCAGCGTAGAATACAAGAAAAAATAGCGTATGACGATTTAGACGAGTCTACAACAGAAGCCGCCCTAGGAACGCCGTTAAATTTAACCCACGTAGATAGGTATTTGCACGGACCGATTGCTGGTAGCTGTAGTAATGAAACGACAGATGATCTTCATACTACGTTAAGTCTATTGAAACGTGAGGCTGCCAACTGGGTCAATGGGAACACATTATCTAGACAGCCAGCTACGTCATTAATCAGTCCAGCCGCTTCGGTGTATGCCCTCGGGGAATTAACGCCCGGTGGGGCTTTGATGAAAGGTTTTCGCGAGGATAATGTCGGCCGTAAGTCTGTCTATCAATTAGTAGCCACTAGTTAGGCATTGCATTAGACAATGCTAGTTAACTTAGCGGTTCAGTATTAATTAGTAAGATTATTCTTGACAGAGCTGATACCACCGGAGTTGGAGAAAGAATTACGCAATGTCTATGTCTCGCTTTGCGAGTTATTGAAACATTTTTGGCGCAGTTTCCCTCCTACTACCCCACAATTGGAGGAAAAAGTCGTAAGGATGCACGAGACGTTACGAAGGTTCCATAATTCAAAGCTTACGCCTTTTGAGGTAATTATTTTTTTTTTTTTTTTTTTTAATGTTGAATTTATTTATTTATAAAAATTTTTTTAGGATCGTATACAAGTAGAGTTTTCAGCAGTAAGTCAACATTTAACAAGTCATTTAAAGTTATTATTATCAACTGCGTACAATAAATTTGATCATTGGCATCGAAGGAAAATACAGATGAGGTAGCCACGCTGAGCGATCAATCATTAGGAAAATAATACAAATAATAATAATAATCATAACAAAGTAAAAAAATGTGAGGTAATTTTATTAAGAGCAGTATCAATGATTACTAGATATTGCGTTTTTTGTAATGTTACCGTAATTAGATTTTTAAATTAACAGTTGTGTGTCTTATATTAAAAAAAAAAATAATGATAATAACGATAAAAAAAAAAAAAGAACCAAATGCGAATGCACATATTTATGGCATATCTTATCTATTATTATTTATTTCAATAGATTTAAATATTTTATTTTTTTTTTGTCTGTTGAAATAAAATGGTTAGTCAAGTGAATATATTAATCAGTGTTCATTTGCTTATCAGTTAATAAAATCAAAGACTGTAAAACTACTTCCTTATTCATACTTCTCTTTTGCCTGTTATGTGTTTTTATCTAATTAATTTTTTAATTGACGGGTTCTTCGGGTCTGACGCCCTGATTTTTGAGCATTTTTTTGGGATTTTTTTTGTAAAGACCAATGAAGAGATAGAACTTTGAACTTTTTATCATTTATTTATACATATTTCTAGAGTATACAGTTAAATTTTTAGCTAAAAACATTCAGTAGAATTAAAGTTATAGTGCCTCGAAAAAAATTGACGCTCACTTCCTCCACGATATCAGCTGATTGGCTAATTTAGAACAAAAAAAACCTGACGGGGTTTTATTTTGTATACCTAAATACGGGGAGTGAATTACGATCAAAAAAAAAATTTTGAAAATTGTATATTTTGTATACCTAAATACGGGGAGTGAATTACGATCAAAAAAAAAATTTTGAAAATTGTATTTTTGACAGACTTCGGAATAAAAAAGTCCGAATTTTATTTCTTTTGTCAACTATTTGATACAAAAAAAAGTAGAAATTTTCAAAATTTTTTTTTGATCGTAGTTCACTCCCCATATTCAAGTATACAGAATAAAACTCCGCCGAGTTTTTTAGTTTCAGATTAACCAATCAGCTGATATCGTGGAGAAATCGAGCATCAATTTTTTTTCGAAGCGGGTGTCTTCAAACCACTATAACTTTAAATCTACTGAATGTTTTTAGCTAAAAATTTAACTATATACTCTTGAAATATTTATAAATAAACGATAAAAAATTCAAAGTTCTATCTCTTCATTGGTCTTTACAAAAAAATTCCAAAAAAATGCTCAAAAATCAAGGCGTCAGACCAAAGGACCCCCTTTAAGATTCAAAGTGTGGGACTGATAATTATTGCAATTTACAGTGTGTTTATTTATATTTTTAAAATTAGGCTAAATAATTGAATTTAAATATCAAAATTAATTAATAATTGTTATTTTTTTCTATTATTATAAGTCATGAGTTATTTTTAATAATGTGGATTTAAAACTATTATTAAATATATGTATTCTTACATTAAAAAGATTAATTTATAAGTTATTTATTATAGGATAAAAACACTGGACTAGTTCAAGGTAATTAGACAAGTAATTGTTTTTAAAAGTGTTCTTGATCTAGTAATAAAAGTCCGAAATTAATAACAGTAATTAATGATTGATAAATGTTTTTTTTTTGGACGAAATTAATTGGCTAGTGGTAATTAAAAAAAAATTCTAAAAATACTTTTAGAATTATCAGTAAATGTTTTATTGTTATCAAGTTACAAGTGTTATTATCCTATCAATCGACAATGACCCATAAATTTAAGTGATACTATTGTATTAACAGTATTTAAATTTAAGTAATTGAGCATGACTGTGAAGTCGCCGAACAAAAGTTAAAAAAGAAAAAAATAGTTGAGCGCATGTCTGTGAAAAAAGGTAACGAAAACAGATTTAAGAATTGTCGGGAGAAAAAAAGAAGAGTCCAAGTCGTATTCGATTCAATTCCAATGTCTGGGAGAATTCGCCATGGATTTTTTTAAACCCACCAACTCAAGGCCAAAACAATTTTATTGTATGGGTGAATGTGTGTCTACGAATAACCGAGCTCCTCATCTGGATATAAACGAATAAAAAATAATCTAGAATATAGCGTAGGGGGAAATAGAGAATATGTAGTACAATATAAAAATTATATGACACGCAGGGTGGTATCCTTTTGTACCTCAACATCGTCTTAAGTTAATAATAACAATAATTAAGACAGTATATGTTACAGAGTATTTCCGCTCGAATTTGTTGTACCATTCTCAATAAATCCCACTGGGTTTTAGTTATTTATTTTTTAAACATGACAACATCCAGGTATGCCTCCACTATTTCAAATGCCTTTTTTATCTCCATTATATTTTTTTTTTAAACGTCCAGAATCAACTTGTCCTGACGTATTTTATCACTGACATCATTCCCGAAAAAATACCACCGAGAAACAAAACAACTTGTTTTTTTTTAGCTACTTTATTTTTCGTTTTAACTCACTTATTTTTAATTACCTGATATCATTTAATTACTCAATAATTTCGATAATTTCCAACTAAAGTCGGATTGTTTTTTATCTTAAAAAAAGTAAGACTTCTATAACGTGGGTGCATCACTTTTTTTTTATTATTTTTATTCTCAAAGGAAATCTTTTGTCCAAGACAGAACAATATCACCGGCTCAACCAGATAAAATAAATCCAGGCGTATAATTACAGAAACAGACATTTAAATATATTTAAAAGGTCTGTAATATATAATTTAAAATTCAATTATTTGTCAAGGATATGTCAAATTTTTCTTGGTAATTTTCTAAAAATAATTTAAATAGCTTAAAATAAATTTATTTAAATAATAAAATTTTATGCCTGATTAAAAAGTGAATTTTTATAATAAATTTTTTGTCAAAAAAATATTTTTTTATAATCTGCACTGATAATTTTTTTATGAAAATTAACGTAGCAGATATTTAATCATTTTTAGAATTTTTTAAACAAATAAATGAGAGCAAAAAATTGACATGGAGAAATTTTTAAAAAATAATTTTTTGGAGAAAATTTATTTATTACAAAAAAATAAAAAAAATTGTCAAGTGACAGCTAATTTTAATGTCATAAAAAATTGACACCTAGAAATTTAAAAAAATAAAAAATGCAATTTTTTAAAAATATTTTTTTGTTAAACAAAATAAAAAAATTGTCAAGTGACAGCTAACTTTAATATCATAATTTTTTTTCTAATAATTTAGTTAAAAAAAATTTTTTAATTGTTAAATTTTTCTGTAAATATATATAATTTATTGTTGATGTTATTTACATCAGCTGTCAAACAATAAAATGATTAAATCTGATTAAGTCAATTTAAAAACTCCCGCGTAAATGAAATTTATAAATAAAAAAAATAGGTGGCGTTTGGAATTGTTGATTATAATCAAAATGGCAGCATGTAAATGGTTACTCCGAAAAGACTTTGCCCAAAGACGGACGCGTTAAATTTAACCGCGTTATTATTTAATAATAATAATACTCGAGCTAATAAAATAAGTTAATCACACAATAATGTAATTGTATTTATGATAATAAGACAAATTAATAATTGTCACAGTGATAATATACACTTGTTGGACGGTATATTTAAATAGAGTGTGTTGTCGTGCAAGTAGTACCTTTTTTTTTCCTTTATTATTTTATCATCTTCTCTCGTACACACTGAATTTTGGTGCGCGATGATTCGCGAAGGGTTGTAGCCATATTTACAGTACCAGCACCAGTACACTTGTCCATGTAGATTCCAGTTTTATTTTATTATCATTTATTTTTGTATTTAAATTATACATAATATAAATTGTGCGTACCGACTAGTTCCTGGCTACTTATTTATTTATAAATAGTAATACGTGTGATTATTAATGTGTAATCAGTGACATAATGATCAGTTTATAGCCAATCTATCTCAGGATTGAGTTATAAAGTTTGTGGATTAAGACAATACTTGTCACGTTTTTAAATATTATTTTACTCCGTAATTATTATCAAAGTTATCATTTAATCCTCTTGAGAAATACACCGCAGTTTTTTAAACAAACACTTTTACTTAATCAGTATGACTATTTTATTGTTGAATATTAATACTTATTTATTTCGGTAAGCAATATTTTATTAATTTTTTTCTTCTTTTTTATAAATAATCTTTAATTTTTACATTACAGATTTATATCAAAGTAATAAAATTACTTTATATCTACATGGTTTGGAGCAAAACGATTATAAAAACAACCAAAGATAATGTTATGTTTGACATAAATAATAATAACAATCATTCATTAAAAAAAAGCCTGCAAGGTGCAGGCTAGGCACATTAGTGCCAATTTCGGGTAATGGATCCAGTTGGTCCATGGTAAGTTTCATTATTATTTTTAAAATTATTAAAAATGATACTAAAGTAACATCTGACAATTTTTATATTAATAAAAACAAAAAATTTTTTTTTTAATTCTCTACATTACTAAAATTTTTCTTCAAAAATTTTATTCAACATTTTTAAATAAAAAATTTTATTCAAAATTTTTAAATAAAAAATTTTATTCAAAATTTTAAATTAAAAATTTACCAGATCTACTTGAGTAGCATAATTAAAAAAAAAAAAAAAGTATTTTTTATTAGCTGTTTTATCTTTAAAGCAAGAACCATTAAAGTATTAACTGTATTGTTATCTATTTAACAGGTACGCCTCGTACAATCGTTTGACAACAGGAACAGCCGCCGGCACATTTCAAGCCGGCGGAGCGACTGCAAGTGAGTTTGTGTCTCACCATCTTGGATCGCCGACAACAATTAATCAAACTTCGGCATCATCAACCTCAGCGGTAGCAACTACACCATCACAGTTATTACTGCAAGCGGCACATACCACCGCTTCGTTGGCTGGTCAATCACCACCGTTTAATTCCAGTGGTTTCTTGTCACCGCCACCGGTTGGCTATGACGTATTCTCGCCGCTGTTTCATCATTCAAGTGTCAAGCAAGCACATTACAATGTCACGACAGCCGGCGCTCAATCTGCCCAGCGGACAAC